GCGCTGCCGGGCCTGCCCAATTTCGCCGACTTGGCTTCGGTCGCTGCGGTGGCGCTCCAGCAGCAGCAGCAGCTGCAGGCGCCGCCGCCACAGCAGCAGCAGCAGCAGCAGCAGCAGCAGCAGCAACAGCAGCAGCAGCAGCAGCAGCAACAACAGCCGCAGCAACCGGACCCCGCGGCAGCGGCGGCATGCCCCGCCAACAAAGGGGACGAGCCGCCCGTCAGCACGTGAGGGCGCCACCCGGCACGCCGGCCCCGCGCGGCGCCCGCCCCCTCTTTCCCCCCTCTTTTTGGGGCGGGCCCGCCATCCAGGTGCGGCCGCCCCGGGCCCAGCGCCTGCCGCTGGCCACCAGACCCAGACAAGCATGTTGGCGTAGACGGTTCTGTGGTTTGGTATGCAAGACGACCTGCGGGGGCATTATGCATGGGTTGGGTTGCATGGTTGCATGGCGCGGGCGCGCCTAACGCCGAGATTCCCGCGCAGCCAAGATCGCAGCAATTACGCGCACGTCGGGGCCCCCTGTCGTTTTTGCGAATGCCAGTGTCAGAAAGGGCTGGGCTGGCTTGCATGTGTGTGTGTGTGTGTGTGTGTGTGTGTGTGTGTGTGTGTGTGTGTGTGTGTTTATTAGTGCGTGAGTGCGTGTCTGTGTGCGTGCGAGCACGCGCATGCGTGAGTGCATTCGTCTGTGTGTTTGTGTGTGTGATTGCATGTGTGTCACGTGTTGCATTCTCATTGCGGCGCCTTTTGCATACTGCATTGCACCGCCCGGCGGCAAAGTCGCGCCCACGGCACCCCTCCACATGCATTCCGGTTTCAGCGCGGCGACTGCGCGGCGGCCCTCGCCCACCTCGCGTCAATGGCTGCTCATGCACCCTCATGCACACTCATGCACGCACGCAAGCATTCAATCCCCTGCCTCCCTGTTGCTACATACTGTGGTGAACCGCCGGGCGCGGGCGGGGGCGCAGCGGGGTGCCCCGCGCGCCCGGACCACCTGAACACGTTTGGCTGGGTTTCTTCAGATACCGTGGGCGCGGGGCCAAGCATCGGGACCCGTCGCGCCCGTCCCTGCCGGAACGGCTCGCGCGCAAGTAGACGGCTCGCGCCGTGCGCCGCGTCGCGCTGCGGCCCACCCAATGTGCCCCTGCAGGCCGCAATGCGCCGGCGCACGATCGCAGCAGGCCAAAACTCGTGCCTTTTGCTTACTTGTGGGCGGCGCGTTCTGCACGATTAAGGGGCTCCTTGATACTTGACAATTCCTTACGCAGACTTAACTACCCTTTGTGGGGGCCGCTGCCCCTCTGGCCGTGTCGTGCATGCCTGCGCTTGCCGGCTGCAGCCCGCCATCAAGCATGGCCCTGTTATCGCACACGTGCCCCTGGTGTATGGATGGGTGACATGTGCAAGAGGTACAGGCTACGAAGGCCTGCAAGGGTGCTGCTTTGCAATGGTCTGGTGGGGCAGGTGGGGCCGTGGATGGATGGGAGGAGCAGCTCACACTTGATGCCAAGCAGACCATGAGGTCAGGCGGGGTGGGAATGTAAGGTTCATATATCGTACATACGCCCTCATGGTTGCCGTGAGGCCTGGATACACCCTTGGGCGGAGCAGCGAGTCTCGATGAGGAGCAGTTCCGAAGAGTTGAGCTCTTACAGCGCCCTGTGCTGCAGCCACAATCTTCCTTCTTTACTTGTGTCGGGTCCCTGCAACGCACCCTTTTGCCAAGATGCTCGCCCAGCGCAGCTTTGCCCCCGCTTCAAGGGCCCGCAGCGTCAGCGTCGTGGCCAAGCAGCAGAGTGAGCTTGATGAACTACTGAACATCCAACTTTGGCAGTCCTCAGGGCAATGGGCGTGGGTTGGGGTCGCCACTGCTTGGACCCGCGGCACAAGGCCTCGTGGGCCTTTGTGCTCGTGAGGCGCTGCTTTCTCTTGCCTAAAGCATGTGATTTCACATCATATTGCAGATGTCTCCGTGCCCCAGGCTGCGGTGACGATCGCCGCGTCCTTTGTGCTCGCTGCATCTCCCGCGTTCGCGGGCGTGGTGCTGGAGCAGCCGCAGCTGAAGAAGGTCGGTGGACGATCCCAGATGCAGGGAGCATTCCTTCAGCGGGGCAGGCTGTGGCACCGGGCTGGCAGCGCTTGCGTCGTGGCGGAGATCACCACTGATCGGCAGAGATCGGGCCACCACAGAACATGCAGCTAGCATGCAGATCCAGGGGTGCAATGCGGCGTTGTCGGTGTTTGTGAAACTTTTCTCTCTGCACTTGCTGCACGATTGCAGCAGCATGGCCCCCCCGGGTCGAACCGAGGTCGCGTGCCCGACGCGCACGCTCTGCGTGCTGAGTGCGCACGCAGGCGTGCGCTCCGCCCGCGCGCGCAGCCCAGCCCTAGCCTGGCCCACGCGTCCCGTCCGCCCCCTGCCCCGGCATGCCGCCCCGCCCGCTCCCACAGGTCTTCCAGGCGGAGTCGACCCCTGCTGCAGCTCCCTCGGCGCCCAAGGCCAAGGCGGCGGCGGCCCCGGCCGCGCCCAAGGAGAAGAAGGCTGCGGTGGCGGAGACCAGCGACGGCGGCATCACCCCGCAGTCCATTGCGCTGCCTGGTGAGCGCCGGCGGGACGGGGGCGTCCGCCTTGCCTGTGCCGCGTCCGAGGGCGGCCGCGGCAGGGTTGGGTCGTGGTTGCTGGTGTGACGTCACCATGCGTCATGTCGTGGCGAGCGCGCCGGAAGTTGGCCGGCCCACAGAACGCGGCGTCTAGCAGTCACGGCAGCAGTGGGGACGACGCGTGGGTGCAGCCAGACTGATTGCTGAAGGCAGTGGTCGCTGCCTGGGCATCATGGGTGATCTGGAGCGTCATCCACAGCGTCCATGCCGTCGGCAGTGGGCCACAGCCTGCGGCCGCCTATTTGAGGGGGTCCCCAGCCGCCCCGCCGCCTGGCCCTGACGCCGCTCGCTCCCGTGCAACGCGGACGCGTGTTCCCCCCCCCCCCTCAGCGGCCCTGATCTTCGTGGGTGGTGGCGCCTTTGCCCTGACTACCCTGGACTCGGGCTTTGCTGAGTTCATGCGGACCGCCGCCGTCAAGGTGGGCGGCGCGCGGCCTCCGCAGCCCCACATCCCATTGCCTGCCGCCACGGCCTGGTTCCGACACCGCAGGCGCCGCACACGCAAGAGAGAGCCTTTGTTGCAGCCGTGCGCGTGCATATCTGCACGGGGCGCGCGGGCGTGCGCTGGCTGGTTGTCCCTGCGCACCCCGCGGCCCTCGAGCCCGGCCGCAGTCGGGCAGCCCCCGCAGCCCCGCTTTCGCCATCGATCCCTCTTCTAGCTGTGCGGCATGCGTTTTTATGACGGCACGCCACTGGAATTGCACCGCCTTGGTAACCCCCTCAGAGCTCGCACGCACTCCCCCAGACAGACACACACACGCACACACATACACATACACTCAGGACTCTTCCGAGGACGGCGCCGGCTACGAGACCGACCTCAAGGCGCTGGTGGGTGCCAAGCCCAAGAAGGCCGGGACCTCCAAGACCGGCACTGCAAAGGTGGGGTCTCTCGTGTGTGTGTGCGTGTGTGTGTGCGTGTGTGTGTGCGTGTGCGTGTGTGCGTGTGTGTGTGTGTGTCTTGTGGGTGTCTTGGGTGTATTTGTGGACGGGGCGGCAGGCCCGTGAGTGAATGTGAGGGGCGGGCAAGCTCGGCCAGAGGGGGGCGCAGCACATGTGCAGCGCATGTGTCCATGGGCTCTAAGCAGCGGAGTGGGGCGCCGAACGCGTCACGGGGCGGGCCCCGTCCGCATGGGGGCGCCCTTCTTGCGCCTCGGCGCCGCCTTGACGCGGGGCCACCCCTGCTCCATGGCGCCCGCCCTCCACCCCCCCCCCAAGGTCAAGAAGGCGGCGTCAACCAAGGGCAAGTCCGCGGCAGCCAGCCCCCTGAGCAGCCTCTTCGGCGACAAGTGAGCGGCCGCGCGGCCCTCACTGCCAATTCAAACCTCGCGCCCGGCGGGCAGCTGCCCGCTCGCCTGCCAGCTCGGCGGCCACGTCCGCCCCAACCTCCTGCGAGTGGCCGCGCGGCGGCAGCGAAGCCCCGGCTCTGGCCGATCCCCTGCACATCCCCCTGCTTGGGCAGCGTTTGCGCCCCTTGGACTCGTGTAAAGAGCCGCCTACTACCTCACCTGGCTCGACCCTTCGTCGCCAGCAGGCGGGTGGGCGGCGCCAATGGCGTTGCACCAGCCCTTTGCCCTTGGCGTGTGTCAAGCAAGCCCCCTTGCGGCTGGGGGCAGGCTGGGGGGGAAACGGGGGGATGGCAGCCGCCTTGCGTATGGTATGGAAGCCCCTCGCTTTGTTACCTGGCAGGAAGCTGGGATCCACCAGCGCCCGCGTCAATGAGTTAAAAAGAAGGCAGGTCAAAGAGGAGAACCCAACAGACACGGCCGTATCAAACATGTGAAAAGGTCCTATCAGGCGGAAATCGCAGCTGAAAACCGGACTCACGCGGCGAGCCCAACACAACCGCAACAATCCAGAACAACGTGCGCCGGCACGGCCGCGCCGCGGGGCTGTGTGCGGGGGCGCCGGCTGAGTAGGCTGTAGCTCGCGCTCGTGGCGGCAGGCCCTCGCAGCCCGGGGTCAAAGCCGGCTCTCAGCCGGCGGGCGTGGGGCCACGCCCGTTTCCTGCAACCGGACCGGCTGCAACACGCTAGCGCGAGGACGGCCGCGGCGACGACGCATCCACGGCGCGTCAGGCCCCCCAGCCGTAATCATCGCCGTCCGCATCCTCGTCATCGTGCCCCTCGCCGCTGCCCTCTCGGCCCAGCAGCTGCCGCTCGTCCCAGCCGTCGTCCGCCCCCAGACCTTCCAGCCCCTCGAGCGCCGAAAGGTCGAACCGCGGTATGCCCCCCGCCGCCGCCGCGCGCCCGCTCGGCGCGGCCGCCGGCCCGCTGCTGCCCGGGGACGCCGCGCCCGCGCCCGCCTCGTCCACTACGCAGCTCGCGCCGCCGTGGCCGGGGCCGGGGCCGGCGCCGATCGCGAGCGCGCCGCCGGCTGCGCCGGATATCCATTTTCCGGGCGTCGCGCGGTCGACGCCGCCAGCGTTGCCGATGCGGCCGGCGGGGGAGCCGCCGCCGCCCAGGATCGAGTAGGAAGCCGCCTGCTCCGCCAGCATCTCCTCGACCTTGCGACATATAAATTCGGATAGGTTTTTGGCGGGTTCGCGGCGCAGATGGGTCCGATAAGGTGAGTTTCGGTTGCGGCTGGCGTCAGGTGTTTCGTGTGATGGATGAGCGCTCATAGCAGTGTGCGCGGCATGGGCCCGCCATCAGGGGCAAGGCGGGGGGACGTGAAGCCAGGAACGGCGTGCTGCCGCCCGCCCACCCGCCCCGCGCTCCGCGCCCGCGAGCATGCCCGCTGAGCGCGCGGCCCCCGGGCGCCGGGCGCCGTCGTCGACCCCAAATCTTCAACATCCCCCGGGCACCGCGCACCTGCGCGCTGGAGAGCATCATGTCAATCATCTGGACCATCTGGGGCGGCAGCGCGCCGCGCACGGGGTCCTGCGCGGCCGCCAAGTCCGGGGGGTAGAGGAGGGAGGTGGAGGAGGGCGGGGGCAGAGGGCGGCGGCGTGAGGAGCGGCAGGAGGGGCACGGGTTTTGAGGAGCAGGCCGGCAGCTGCAGGCCCGCAGGACACGGCGGCCGCCGAGCCGCCGTGGCAGGGGCATGGCCATCCAT